TAACATGTGACTTGTCGCAGATAAAACGTGACCGGGGTAAATTAGTTATCCAATTTTAGTCTAGACGTCGTCAATTTTCCACTTTAACTGTCTACATAAGTACTTAAGAATGTCCAGTCACTGAGAACTTAAGACAAATGACTAACAGACGTTTAGGTACGCATCCTGTCAACTACCTCTGAAGAATGACAAAGTCCTTGCACCAGAATTCTTCTTGAGGATCCGACGGTCCAGAATCTTCCGGAAGTTTCATTACCGTGTCCACAAGATCCCGCCACTGATCTCTGTCGTGAGCCAAATGAACGCATTCCAAAAACTCCCACCATATTTCCTTGTGATAAATTTTAATATTATTATCTGATCTAAGCCTAGGCCTTCTCTTCAGGCTCTCTAACCACAATGCTGTAAGTATTTTAATTTCCACCAATCTTGCTTCATGCCCCGTCGATCTCTGAGTGTAACGATTATTTAAGTTAAGTTTAAAACTAATTATATTGTTTACTTAAAAAATTATTTCAGCGTAAAATATTAATTTCATTTAAATCCAACAAACTTCTTAGACCAGAATCCTGTTCTAATAGAATACGCCTAATAACTCAGTCTATAAATAGACCCGTCATTTATAGAAACATATTTCATTACCGTGTTCACAAGAGCTCATCAATGGTCTCCATCCCAAGCCAGTTCAATCCAATACACCCCAAACCCATTCCTCAAGATGCATATTAATGTTGTCTTAGGTATCCCATCTATTCGCTACAAATTTTGATTTCTGAACCAAATTTTTCTATATACAGCTTTAAATTTAATGGTTTTAACATATCGAATTGCAAAGACAAATTCTGAATACGTTATGCATCAGAAGGTATGTATCTGCTGTAGTTAAAAAACAAACCAACGAGAGATTGACTGCAAACTATTATTATATTACTGGATGTAATTTAACACATAACACTCATGTTACGTAATAATGAATATCTGTACGTATGTATGCGTGTATATATGTACGTATGTACTGGAACGCATGTATGTACAAGTAGGCTACCGTTGCATACGTATTCATGTATGTATTAGTATTTACATAGCTGTATGTACAAACATGAACGCGTATGTGTTCATGCATATACTTTACGTTACCAGTTACATGAACCAAAGGGGAAAGTACAGCAGCCAGCCATACGACAGAATAATGTGTATTCATTTAAGATTGTTGTACGATTCTTTGTTAACTACTGGTGGTATGTAGTGTTGAAGTACGTGCAGATTTAAAGGTGTGACTAAAATATACTTGTAACAATGAAATGATAATTGTAAAAGCGTGCTTTTTGGAGAAAACTAAAATTCCAAAGGTGTGTTTTACGTCACGTCATGAACAATGCAACAAAGGGAAAAACAATACAAAAACTTGGGAAAATGTAGTCGGTACTGGAAGACAAATTTTATCATGTTCTTTGCAACAAGCAGTTAGATGTATTATATTCGCCTTGTCCCGGGGAAAAAAATTACAAATACTGAAAATTTAAAAATGACTGAATCATCTAAATTTTCGAACTTTTCTAAAATTTCAAAACCCAGAATTAAAATTGTTACAATTCCTACCATGGTTTCATAGACAACAATCATATCCCATGATACTGCTCTGACAAAGCAATACGACGTCATTGTTGTAATAATGTGACAAAATAGATAAGAGCAGAAGACATTGACTAGTGTTCTTCACTTACACTAAAGCAGAAAGACAACCCAAAAAGTATAAATTTGCAAACACTCCAATGAAATAAATCAACAATCATAATATTTTCATCCTAACACAGACATCACTTTCGCGAAGCGTTAAAAGAATCTGGGTCAAATGGTGAAAGACAGAAAAACATTTTAACACTTTCAACGTCAAAAAGCCTCCGTGGCGGTGCTGAAGCCTTGTTAAATCAACAAGAAAAGTCATGCATATTAATCATGCTAATTGCAAGGAGCACGGAATTCAGAATGGAAACAAAGAAAGAGAGTGTATAATCGGATACAAAGCGAAATGGCATGCAAAAAGGACAGAAAACATGTTTCAAGTAAAGTAAAACAGAACGTGCAATGAAAAATAGCATTCCCAGCAGAAGCGAGATGTATCTTAAGAGAAGACTTTTGTATCATCTCAGGACCTTTGAAAGCTTAAAAATCACAGAGTACTTTATTGTAATCTCCTGTTCTTGTAAGAAATGTAATATAGATGGCTGTCTTCTGGGTTGTTGCGCCGTGTACCCAGGTAGAAATTTACCGACGTTTCAGAGGTCCTTGCTGTCTCCATCATCAGGGCGACGAGTCAGCAAAGATATCATAGACATAAACGCAACATTTATGCTAGCCGTGTTAGCCAGTCTAACACATTGAAAAACAATAAGTTTTCTGTTTTATTTTCGTGGTTCGATGGTACTCCATACTTCGGACAGCAGAACCGATCAGGAGGAAAATTCTGTCAGAAGTTACTAGCCACTTAGTTGAGGCTTAGGCATGGCTGCAGCTGATTAACGATTCATTTAATATGACCGGTTCTGCTATGATGATGGAGACAGTAAGTACCTCTCAAAAGTTGGTAGACTTCTACTAGACTATACGGCACAACATCCCATAAGACAGTCATAAGTTTAGTATCTGCATATAAGTACGAATGAATACGAAACCCGATGTCTATATTGGCCTATTTAACTATTCTGGTCGATTAAACGGAAAGTAGGAAAGAGTAATTGCCACGGTCGGCCAAGTCGATCATAAATATCTAACATGTCAGCCACCTTGTATTAATGTACACAACTCCCTTGTCGGTAGCGGTGAGAGAATTTAAGGTCCATAAGTGTAACACTGAAAAGTTAAACATTACGATACACTGCCGACCAAAATTTAGGCTGGCCGTTTGTGAACCTAGTAATTTGTAGAGTGATGTACCGAAAGATTTTCAGTAGTCGAATGAAATTTATTTTTGTCATAGATATAATCAAGTTCGGAACGTTGTAATTGGGAACAAATTTTACATTTCAAACAATGATTGTCTGCTGTATTTAAAATGTATTTAATAACAACCTCTATGTATATTATCATATTTAAATCATCGTGAAAGCTTTAAATTTTGTAAATGTATTTTATTTTCTCTTTATATACATTGCATTTCAGGCATTTTACAAGTTTAATTTTATCAGTTAATGTATTTCTCGACATAAATACATCAATACTATAAAATAAGTTTTCGCAGCTTTTGTGTTATTTGTCCGTCGTGTTCTATGAAGATGTCAAGGGCCTCTCTGTGGACGGTCTTCAATAAACGAGATATTTGGTCAGTCATTTTAATGATATACTGGAGTTCATAATGGTTACTTTATAGGAGTACGGAATTTCAAGTACAATATAAATTAGTATGATAAATATCGGTACTATTGGAAAGGCAGTTATATTTCATTTCGCTCCCATGAGTGCAAAATTTCTCATTAATAATGCTATATTGCAAAGTGTTCTATTTTAAAGTGCTGCCACCAATAGGGGGCTTCTAGAAATACTTCTACTAAGCCTAATTACTGACGACGAAAACGTTGAAATAAAAGGAATGTGGAAGGAATAAGCGTGAAAGAAAGGAAGGAGATGAAGTTAATAAAGAGATAAAGGAGAAAGAAGGTATTAACCGTTGAATTTCAATGGGCCTCTTCAATGCCTTCGAATAGCTCAAATCTGAAGACATTTAATATTCATATTTAAAGTGATTATTTACTGCTATGAGCAACGTTTGACACAAGATAATTCCTTAATATGAAGACAGTACATCACCCCTGATTTATGACAAGTTTTCAACGTAAACATTGCATACTGATTCCAATAATACGCACTTTTAGCAAAAAGAAAACAAAATCAAAACAACCAAAAGTTAGAAATTAACTTGTATCAAATTCATGTTTTGTGTGTATTCAAATATATGAATTGCAATTAAAGTTCTCTTAAAATTATACATCAGAGATATCCCTAATATTGAATTAAAATGTGATTTGGCACGTTCAAAGAATAATTACTAGTGAAAAATGGTGATACCTATAAAGTCACTTCTTATTATTATTTTTTTTTGTAATTTAATATGGTGTCTTCTTAGCAATTCACGTGCGTTATGATTAGGCCATTACCTCCGCCTCTAACAAAGCCTTCATGGCCCCAGGAAAGAGGGTGCCATGCCCCTCCTTCTCTCCTTGGGAAACGCAGCTCTATAAAACATTCTTACCATCTTAATATATCGTTTCTAAGAAGCTAAGATAGTTAAGAAATTCTTTAGTTAACACTAAACCTGACGATTAATCACCGTGTTTACTACAATTGAAAACTGGGCCCAAATCTGAGCCATTTGAATATATTACATATTCTCGCAGCCCCTTTCATGATCAATTTTAACGTTATATCTTATGTTGTCAACTGTTAAAATGAAACAGCATTTCTCCAAAATTGTGATATCTACATATAAGTCCACACGGCGTCAAAAAAGAGAAGAACATCATCGCAATTTAATAATATCCTCTCATCTACACTTCAGGCTTCCAACTGGTCACTTCCGTTAAGGCTTTACGATAAAAAGTTTGAATCAATTTCTCACCTCCCATACGTGGCATATGCCCAGCCCATCTTACCCTTCTCGATGTTGTTTCCTTCATGTTTATAATGGAGAAGACTGTGTTCAAATATGATTAATAGCTGCGAATACATTACACTGAATAAACAGTCGAGGACCACTCCAACTTGGGTGTGCAACGGGTTGCTAACAACCTCTCACAGGATGCTGCAAGATGTTATACAGGCCATCGGACTGACTATTAGCTTCTCTAGTAATTCTTTGCTTTAACGGCGGTTGGTTTAGTCACTAACAGTTGCTGTCAAATATCTAATGTGCTTTTTGTTCTAACCACGCCCTTTACTGTACGTCGAGCTTCCATGTAAATCAATTCAGCTGCCTATCAAACAACAGTTATTGAGGGAAAACTTACAGATGGTCTCAGCAACAGCAGCCATATGCGATCAGCAGTGACGTAACTAGGGACGCCCAGAAGTGACTGTGGCATCTGAGGTCACCACTGTCTGCAACACAAGGACACAGTCTCAATTTCAGTCACAACGGACTTCGTGTAAAGCAAAGCAACATGGGAGATACACTGAAAGTGTCCATGCACCGTAGAGCAGTTACGTCAGGAGACATTTAGAGATTCAAACAGAATATTCGGTGATTAAATTCTGTAATGCGCAAAATGGAACATTCACGAGACTATTCAATAATCCAGCAGCGAAATGAAATGAAGCTCTTTACTCTATGATGGCTTATAGATGTGGAAGATCAGTAGCTACTGGTAAGCCTCATTGATCTTACAATATGGCTGGCTTTCTTATTCACAAGTGAAAGCCACGTGCATACGGAAAACAATATCAGTGAAAATACATTTTCCTTGTTGACTGAAGATTTTTGAGTTCTGATCATATGTAGTCTTGTAGTACCCAGAAGAACACAGTGGTTAGCCATTCTGATTCGTACTCAAGAAGTCCTGGCTTCATATCTAGGCCCGGAGACCGGTTAGACTAACTGATGTTATTCCTGGTTTTCCTTAGACACTCCAAGCACATTCAGACATGTTGCTTTACATTGGGCCACGGCCACTTCCTTTAACACCCTTTCCAGTTCATTAGTTAATAATCATCGTATCATTCGACGTTAATTTCGATCTATTGACAACGTTGCTAAAACCTAAAATATAATATATTTCACTTTACGTTGCTTGCTATGTATACAGGTATGTATTTACGAGTTGTTTCATGATGGCAATTAAATCCTAGTTTCCATGATACCAGTAAAGAAACATTGTATTAGTGCTAAATAAAATTTAGCATTGAAATATGTGTGTTTTAAAGCCTAATGATTTATCTTTTGCTTAACAACTCTCTCCTGTCAACCATTTGAAGCACAGTGGTGGATGTACCACTTGCTTTAACATCCAGTAACTCTGCACGTTACCCAGCCACTGCATTTCTGTGCTTCATATTTTTCTTTCTGTCTTCGATACCGTGTTCAGACCGGCTCTGAAGCCCCACTGTCACCTGTTCAATGAGTATTTCTCCCCAGGGGAACACTGGACCAGGTGTGAAACTGGCCACTTCTACTTCCGAGATCAAGAATAACTGGAGCATTACCTCATACGTCATCGCGGTGCGGTACTTAATAAACACAAGAAAATCTTTTACACGCACGTATATTAGAAGAAACAGTAATTAATTTCTTAAATAGCCTTACCTAAATTACCTTGCTTTTGAAGAGCAGTGAGAAAAGGAATGAATTGTAAATATTATTTAGATAGACTCTGTACTTTAACAAAAATTTCCGCAATTTAAATTAGTGTGCTCGTTTCTCATGTCAGTGTATGTGTCATGAAGTACTGAAGCCAACAAAAACCATGGCAGAAATACTCGGAAGTCCAACATACAGCACACAAATGGATATGATCTTAAACTAGTTCCATTCATTACTAGATCCAATCAACTTATCCATTTAACATACTTCTTCATGTTGTCCTCCCCTTCCCTCCTCTGTCTTCTACGAGAACAATTCCCAATCAAAATTCTGTGTTCATTTCTAGTCGTAGCAACATATCCAGCTCGAACTCACACTATCCTTATTACACGTCTCTACAAATTACGAAATTTATCATTATATATGTGAATACTCTGAACTGCTCGCTTTATTTTTCTACTTATTTCGAAATATTTTCGGTATCATGTTATTTTTAAACATTCCTTTTGTAATATTAACTCAAAATGGGACATCAATATAGTTTGTATTTCTTTTTGTATGCACGGTGAGAGGTCTGGAGATGCCAGTTAGCCAAATACCACTTGATAAGGTGCCTAAGGTATAATATGTTAAACGTCCTCTCCTTTTAAAGAGAAAGTTCGAACAAATGTTTTTTAGAAAGTTATTTTAATTCTTCTGCAGCGAAAATATATGGCGTTAAGTATTGATGGCTAAATAGACAACAATAAATGGTATACAGACAATCACTAAACCGTTGTAATTTTGTTTTAACTACCAACATCAATTTTATAAATGTATTATTTGCACCAAATACAACTTGAGGAAAAAACAATTTCCCGAAATTATAAAAAATGTCCCCATACATGAATGATGCTTCATTCCAGTGTACTTAACGTTGATTTTGTCAGTGTAATGCGAAAAATTGCTCTTTTGAACAAAATCATGGCAATTTGTTTGAAGCATTCTTCTGCAGGCACGTTTAAAAGTGCACCTATTTAAAATTTCCCATATCACCAGTGCTATTTCCGTTTCTAGGTTGTCAGTTTACATCTCGAACGCAAGGTAAAAATGGTCCCAAATGCTAAACACGTAACAACTTATACTTAAGAATAATTACTAATTATTAAACTATAAATTATTATTCATATTTAAAATTGTTGGAAACATTATCTTATGGGTAATATAAGGAGGAATTTTTTTTAAATGTACACATAAAAACTAAAAATTCTTAAAATCCTGGCATGTAGCCTGATTAAGGAATGCGTCGACAAATTATTGGCAACTCTGCCGTATAAACCCTTATGGATCGATTGACAAACAAGTCACACTGATTCTCTAACGTTTGTGGCACTGCCCGATTTATTATACAGATATACTGAGGGTAATCGGTTGTCTGAGGCATACATGATATAGGCGAGTTGGCCCAACACCAGACTCAGTTGATTCGTTGTGTTAATACACTCGCGTTTCTTTTTACCAAATTTTTGATGTAGAAGAACCCTTCTTAATGGGCTAATAGTACGCTCGGATATCCAAGAAATTTCCCGGCTTTAGTGGAAAGAAATGTTTAATACCGTTATCACAAGAACCCGTCATTAGCTCCTATCCTAAACTAGGTAAAACCAAACCTACAATCCTGTACCGAGACCCATTTTAATTCACTATTATTATACCTTGGTCGCGCGGTCTGAGGCGCGGGCCTTGTACCGCTTGGTCACTGGGACCGTGGGTTCGAATCTCACTCAAGCCATGGATGTTTGTCTACATTTCTCTGTCTTGTGCTGTCCTGTGTACAAGTAGAGGCCTTGCGACTGGCCGATCCCTCGTCCAAGGAGTCCTACCAAAATGCCTATTAGATCAAAAGCCAACGAAAAGTTGGGACCGCAGTGCTCAGGCACTTGAAGAATGGGTCGTCCAAGTATCAAAGTAAATATTATTATACCTTGTAGCCCTAGGTCTTGCAACTGGTCTCTTCCTTCAGGCCTTCCAAAAACCAATGTGTACGCATTTCACATATCCCTAATGCATGCTACATGCACCATCTACCTCATCCTCGTTGACTTGATCTCAATAATATTTCGTGAAGATTACAAATTATAAACCTCCCCCTCATTATGAAAATTTCCCTAACATCTTCCCAATTTATCTCCCGACGGTTAGAATCAACGTTTGAACACTAGTTTGGTAAGTTAGTGGTCTGGGGGTAGCTACATTAGCAATCTGTATTTTATTCACCTCTCTAGAACTAAAAACAATATGGTTTACAATGCATCTAACATACTTCGTGCGAACAAGTGATCAATTTTGAGTTCACTGATTGGTATATAGTATTATAAGACGCAAGACTCATAAGAGAAGGCAGTGTGAATCCATTATTATAGAATGAGACTATACGTGT